GCCGGCCGGCAGAGCGGCGGCTGCCGCCCCCAACCCGAAAGCGGCCTCCTCCACCACCGCCGCATCGCCCCGCGGAGCTTCCTCAGCTCCCGCCGCCGTTCCCAACAAGAGGAGAACCGTGAGGGCGGCCAGAGCGCTGCGGCACCGCGGGCCCCGCATGGAGGGGCCCCGCCTCAAGGCAGCCGTTAGGGCATGAACGCTGCCAACGCCGCAAACGCCGCTGCGGAATAGGCGCCCGGCGCCCCGCCCGCCCGCCACGTACCGGCACTGCCGCCGCCGCCGCCCGGCCCCTCACGGCGAGGAGCGAGCCCGTTGGTCCGCCCGCACGTCACTCCGCTCTCCGCTTCTCTCCCATTGGCGCAGCTGAGGGAGAGGGAGGGATGAAGAGGTGTTTGTCAACAGAGCCGCCGGGCCAATCGGATTCACGCCGCTCTCTCCCCTCCCTGTCAACGCGCGTCCAATCGAAAGCGCATGATTCACCGAGCTGCTCGCGGATTGGCGGAGGCGGCGCGCCACATGTGTTGCTGACTGGAGAGCAGGGCTGCGCGGCGCCGCCTCTTCCCGGCCGGCCCTCCGCCGGGTTGGAGACGTGGCTCTTTTACCGTGTCGGCTGGGCGGGGACAGCGGCGCGCGCAGCTCGGCGCGTGGGGCGGGGAGGGGCGACCGGTCGGGCGGGAAGCGGGGGGGGGCGCTGTGCCCGCGCTCTGTGTGAGGGGAGAAGGGCTGTGTGAGGTGGCCGTTACAGCCGGCGTTTAATAGGTGCCGAACTGATGTTGTGTTACAGTTCTTCGTTAACGCATCGTGCTGTTCTAAGAAAAAAATAAAAAAGTGAAAAGTGTCGTTCATTGCTTTATAAGTGAGTCACACGCACCGTTTCTTGGTGCCTGGCCAGCAGGAGTTCTTACCTCCACATTGGCTGTATATCTCACTGCCCTTCCTGAAGGCACGCATTGTCCTGGCACTCCTGTCGCTTTCTAGAACCTCCCCCAGTCTTTCTAGGCTTCCTGAGCCTCTTTCCCACCTTCTGAGCTGCAGTCATCCCTAGAAGACAGGGGAGCTTCATTGGTTGCCAATGGACTGAAATTCACCACACCACTGTTAAGTAATTCACCCACATATCCTCCCTCGCAAACGTAGACCATAAATGTTCATAAATGCATCATTACTGATGTTTTAATCATGTTCATCTAGTAATGGGCCTGGAGGAGAGCTTTCTGGGGTTTCTGCTGTGCTCAGCCTTGCCAGCTATGGATTTCTATTGATGTGCTTCGCTTCCAATAACTGCTGTGCTTCCCATCACTTCTCATTTACAGCAATGCTTCTCATTTCCTCCATTTTGGCTATTTATTTATCTCCAGCCTGCTAAGAAAATGGGAAAGGCCAAAGCGTTTTTGCAGGATATCTCCATACTTCATTAAGCCAGCACTTCTACCTTTGTGCTGGTTCTTGAAGGTTTATTATACTTAAGGCAGCAACAGCCTAGTGCAAGTGTCCCTACCACACCCAGTGTATTACACACAGTCACACAGACTGGCCCGGGTTGGAAGGGACCTCAAGGATCATGACTCTCCAACCTCCTGCCACATGCAGGGCCGCCAACCTCCACAATTAATATTAGACCAGGTTGCCCAGGGCCCCGTCCAACCTGGCCTTGAACACCTCCAGGGATGGGGCATCTACAACCTCTCTGGGCAGCTGTTCCAGCACCTTTCCAGTCCTCACCTTATGAACTCGTTGTCTTGTATTTCTTCCCACCCCCTATCCCAGATCAGCAGTCTCCCCATTGCTGTCTTTTGTTTTTGGGGGCTCCAACAGTTTACTAGTAAGTCTTTTCTCCTATATTCCCCTTTACATAAGGAATAAGAATCATAATCTAAAAGCTATTACTTTCCTGGCTTGGAAATGTACTTCTCTAATACACTGATAATCTTATTCAGAAATCTTTAAAGCCAAACACTGCAATACAGCTGCATAATTTTCTCTGTTAAAAACTTGTGTCAACAAACCCAAACTTCCTGCTTTTTGCAAGGCATGACTCACACGGTGCTTTGTCTGAGTGACATAAGAGATCTATTTCAATCATATGACAATAACTTAAAATCCAACCAGCCGTTTATCTGGAAATCAAAGCCTGCACTTGCAGGGCAGATGGTTGCTAATAGGAATGACGTTTTACCTAAGTCCACTTCAGAATTGCCTGCTTTTCTTGATTGACTTGCTCTCAGAGCATCGAGGCACAGCAATGAAAGCTCAGCATGCCACCTCGTGGCTGCCCTGCACCAAAGGCCATTAGCAGGCTGCAGTGTGATCGCTTATAGCCTGTCATTTCTCCCAGAAAACCTCAGAGCCACAGAAAGACGCATATAATGTAATTAGTGCATCACCAGCTCTGCTGATATCTTTTCATAAGCAGAATAGAATCAAGCACCAGATCAAACCAGAGATGAGAAGTAAGTGTTACACAGAAGAAATGCCACTGAACTGGAGTTCGCAGGATAAAAAATTAGGTATGAAGAATGTAATTGTTGGAATGTAACTGGAACAACAGGCTTGGAAAGCTACTGCCAACCAGAATAGGAGTTTGTCTGGAAGGATGAGCTAGATGTGCTTTAAAATGCTCAATCTACCATGTGGTTTTTCTTGTGTGCTGGTGGAGTTTCACCTTCATAGGTCTTGCTGTCTTTTTTGGCTGTTTCATGCCGTTTATCAAATGCGCAAGACACACAGCTAACCTGACACTCAGAGGCTCTGCACCTTCACCAGGGTTTCACTCAAGTTAGTATGTATCTTGTAGTAGCTTTAAGCAAGGCTTTTCCTGCCACAGCCTCCCACTGCCAACTGGCTGCTCTCAGCGCCTTCCTCATACAGGCACAAGGTCATGAGAACTAACTTTTAGTTGCTTTATTGCTCAGAAAAAGCAGCTTCCTGCCAACGTGTGGAAGGAACAGCAAAACTTGGCAAGGGATAGACTGGAGGGAACACTTCTTTTTGGGGACACTGCTTAGCCAGAGCAGCTTAAGGTAGTTAAAACATTCCCATTCAGAGTTGTTATGTGTTAAGTTTGGCTGAACCAGCTCAACCTCATCTACCTGGCAAGAAACTGCTCTTGTTGCCTTTGTGGGAAGGTGAATCAGTTCAGTACAGGGTCAGGAGCATTCCAGAGCCAGTGCAATTTGTATACCCAGGACCAGAGTGCATGGTGGTGAAGGGAGTAAAGAGCAGAATCTTCTCTTTTTGTCAACAGCAAGCTGTTATCTCAGCTACTGTGTAATTTCCTAACATGTAATTTCAGCCTCAGAGGCAGGATTTAGCACTTGGAATTGTACAACCATTCTCCCAGCCTGGTAGTCCATGCTCCTCTGCTCTTCAGTGTGGCATTTTGCTAGGGTTAACATCCTGTTGGACAAGGAAAATGTCTGTTCAAACAAAGCAGGTTCAAGCATCTGCCTCTGTGCTGAAGCAGAGATGAGTTTGGCTCCCAGAGAGGCTTTGACAAGGGACGAACAGGGGCTTGTACAAAATGATTTTGAGCCATTTGCAGATAGAGCTGGTTGTCAGTCAACTTAAGGGGAATCTATTTCTCAAAGGTCTTGTGCTCTCTTTTTTGTGCATAAGCAATTCTCAGCACCATACATTAAATATTCTGGGAAAGATTGCCTCGTGCACACTTGATCTATAACTCACTGGGATAAAATGACCAGGAAAGTTCGTTGCTAGCTAACAAATCTCCAAACCACCCTGCAGCAGTCACATGCCCTTAATGGCAAGTCACCTGCTCTATACAGAAAGGTAAGGCCTTAATTCACCCAGATAAGCCTGGCTAATGATAATAGAGTCTTTATTGAAAGAACACCCATTGTTCAAAGACTGGTGTGCCTGCCCAGAGAAAACAAAAGGAAATGTTCCTAGCCTTTAAAAATCGCAGCAGAATTGGAGAGGTTGGCAACAAAACAAGTCAGTCATGCATAGAATTTTTTTTTTTTTAAAGTCAACAGCAGCTTTTCTGTTGTGCAAATAAAAAAGAGATCGTTCTCTACTCATTGTGCTCTGACCTTGTACCTGCAGCTCCCATGATTGCAGCATAGAGAAGGTTTTTTTTTTACTGAGATGCCTGTGTGTGGTCTTAACTCGGCTGCTGGGTTTGAAAATGCTGCTGTAGGTGCATCTGAAGGTTGACCTGCATCCCTGATATTTTCTCAGTAACTGTTTCAGCAGATGCCAACCTAAAGGCAGAAAGGCTGATGTGCTCCCTGAAAGAAGACTTCCATCAGGTTTTATACTGTCTTCTGAGTTCTGCTTGGTAACTGCCTAAGTTTTTTTAATAAGGGTGGTGAGGCACTGACACAGGTTGCCCAGAGATCACAGAATCACAGAATGGCCAGGGTTGGAAGGGACCTCAAGGATCATGAAGCTCCAACCCCCTGCCACATGCAGGTCCATCAACCTCCTCATTTAATACTAGACCAGGCTGCCCAGAGCCCCATCCAATCTGGCCTTAAACACCTCCAGGGATAGAGCATCCATAACCTCTCTGGGCAGCCTGTTCCAGCACCTCACCACTCTCTCCGTAAAGAACTTCCCCCAGACGTCCAACCTAAATCTCCCTTCCCTCAACTTCAAACCATTTCTCCTCGTCCTGCAGTTATCTACCCTTTCAAAGAGTTGATTCCCCTCCTGTTTGTAGGCTCCCTTTAGGTACTGAAAGGCTGCAACGAGGTCACCCCACACAGGCTGAACAAGCCCAGCTCCCTCAGCCTGTCCTCATAGGGGAGGTGCTCCAGCCCCCTGATCATCCTCGTGGCCCTCCTCTGCACCCTCTCCAACAGCTCCCTGTCTTTCTTGTGGGGGCTCCACACTTGGACGCAGTACTCCAGATGGGGCCTCACAAGAGCAGAGTAGAGGGGAACAATCACTTCCCTGTCCCTGCTGGCCACAAACAGAGATGTGGTGGGTGCAGATCCTGGAGACACTCAAGGTCAGGCTGGACGGGGCTCTGAGCACCTGACGGAGCTGTAGGTGTCCCTCTCATTGCAGGGGGTTGGACTAGATGGCCTTTCGGGTCCCTTTCAACATCTCTCCCCATCTCTCCTGTAGGGAGAACCCTTTAGGCACTGTTAAGACCACACTGAAGTCTCACCAGCACCTTCTCTCATTCAGGCTGAGCACCCCCAGCCTGTCTCCATAGCAGAGGCACTCCATCTCTGCACGTTCTCATGCTCTCCTCTGGATCCTCTCCAACGTCTCCAGCTCCTTGTGGCGCTGTGGGCCCAGGAGGAAACACTTCCGTGCACCCTACACGAGAGCCCCGACCCTCCATCCTCAGTGACAAACCGCCGCACAGATGCGTTGCCGCACAGATGCGTTGCCGCGCCGCGCTCTGTCATGCATTGTGGGTGCTGTAGTTCGCGGCTCGCCGCACTACAAGTCCCAGCCTCCCGAAGGAGGAGGAGGAGGACGGCGAGGAGGAGGTGGAGGAGGAGTGGAAGCGAGCCGGCACGGCCCAGGCCTGCAGCCCGCACGGGAGAGCCCCCCGGGGGCGGGCCGCGGCGGCATGCGGCTCCCCGTCCGGCTCGGCCCGCTCCGCAGCACGCCCCTGGCTGCCCGGCCGCCGGGGAGGGGCAGGGCCAGGGCCAGGGCCGGCGGGCGGAGAGCCTTCAGCCGCGGGCGGCCCGGCGGCACCATGGCTGAGGAGGCCAAGAGGCTGGCAGCCTGCGCGGCGGTGGACAAGCACGTCCAGGTGAGGCACGCTGGCTTCTCATCCCCTGCCTTCCCTGCTTCGCACGAGTTAGGAGCCTGGTCTCGCGCCTCATAACTTTCCCTTTGCCCACCGCTGCGAGATGGGCTGGGGGAAGAGCTCAGGTCTGTCCCGGGCGCCTGTCCCAAAGCTTGGGCTGCTCTGAGCCCTGACCAGGGGTGCTCCCAGTCCTCTGCCGGGCTGTAATCGTTCCCTCCGTGCTCAGGTACGGCTGGAGCTGCACAGGCTGATGGTGAGCGCTTGGAGGGTCAATGGTTAAAGCTGAGTGGTGGTTTATCACAATGTTTGCTGTGCAAGCTATGTTGCAACAGCAGTGGTGAAAGGGCATCGAGGAGCCCGATTGAACATTTAGGGGAAAAAAACCCTTTCCTTCCTGCTGCCCCCAGACCCAGTTGCCATTAGGCTCTGTGCTGTCCCATAAATATTTCACTTGTTTTACAGCCTTTCCTTCCTCCTCCAGAGCTGTCTGGGTGATGGGAACCTGGTGTGCATCAGCTCCTGGCTGAAAGTGAACCTTGGAGTTGTACACTTTGGGTTTTGCAGCAAAATGTGACTCCTAAAGCTGGGCTTTTGCGCTATTCTGTGGTTAAGCAAACTTATGGTGATGTTTCTGTCTGTGTCCAACTGATTAAAGTTGAGGGTCTGGTTAACGATTCAGTAAAATAGGCAGCAGTGGAAGTAGCACTGCAATATTTGCTGTGTGAGTTGGTATGAAGCAGTGGTGGAGAAGCAAGTTTGGAGTCCCCACTGAACAGCTGGATACTCTCAGCTATTGCAGAAAATCTGCCTTCTCTTCAACTTCTATCGGGAAGGTGCAGCTGCTTTTTGCAACAGCTTTGTGCGCGGCCGTTGCTATCACTGTTAGCAGAAGGAGCCGTGTAATCTTCAAAAATGCTGACTTCAAAAACACAGCTGCAGACTCCTTTTGGAAGGTGCTGCTGTGTTCAGGCTTGGTTGTGCAGGACAAGTCTCTCATTCTCCACTCTGGCGTTGGGGCTGTTATCCTTGCTTGCACCCATCCCAAAGAGAAGCTCCTTGGGCAGTCCATGGCAGAACTTAGGGGGATTAGCAGAGGAGAGCTTTTTGTGTCCCTTTTTAAAATTTAATTAAAGGTAGATATGACTTCCACAGTGGACTGAAGATACCTAAGAGGAAAATGAGGCTCTCACTGTCCCTTTAAAGCACTCAAGAAGCTGTCCCAGCCCTGAGAGTTAAGGGCAAGGAGTCCAAACTGCCTCATACATGGCCAAAATGAGCCTTGCTCCTCTCCCCTTGCAGCTGCTGTGCTTGGCTCTGGCAAGGGAAACCCAGAGACACTGGGTGCTATAGGGTTTCTCCCATAGTAGTGCTGCTGGCAGTGTTGCAAGCATACGGCTGTGACCTGTTCCTTTCCCCTTTTGCAAAGTCACGCTGGTTAGGAAGGGCTGGACTTGTTCTATGCTGGGTTTCTGAGAACTGTTTTATTTTTTTCTAAGCTTTCAACGTGCAGAAAAGAGGGAAATCATTAATCCTGGGGGACTGCAATGCCCTGAACTCCACCTTTCAAGGCAGGCTCATGTCCCAGTAACATTTCAGTTGATTGAAATGCTGTAGCTGTGGCACTGTCCACAACTTGTTGCACATGGAGGATAGTTCCTAAGCTGCTTAACGTCTGAGAAGTGACACTCAGCAGCTATGTGACTGCAACTCCAGCTGGGTTGAAATTGAGCATCTGAAGTCTCTGTAGCGATATTGTGCCTCCTTAAGTCAATTTCAGCTTTGGATCCCATCCAGAGAAGGGGCAATTACACTGAAAATGAGTGTACAAGAGGCGGCAGGTAGCTCTGGCTGGATGGGAAGTTGAGAGGATAATAACCGCAGATTTATATAGAGCATCCTCTTGGGAGGTAATAAATCCATGCACCCTTAGCCTGTGGCATGCTTTAGAAGCATGTGTGTGTTGTGGATGAGGCCACAGTGATCTGTAAACCAGACCAGAAGCAGAGAAAGTCCAGGGCTGAGCTGTGATCCTCTCCAGCACACACTGCCAGGCTCACCCATCTTTCAAGTGTCGCTCGATCTCTTGCAGCCGGTTACACGCTTCTAGAGGATGGTGTTCATTATCTTCTAGGAACCACTACTCTCCTCTTTGCATTCGTATTGTTTACTAACCATACTGTTGGCAGCAGCCCGGCACTATTACTATGTGGCTTCTTTGGGAGATGTTATCTTCAGGTTGTTTCAGCTTTTTGCTCTGTGGGTAGTGTGGAGTTCCTGGCTTTCCAGCAGGAGCATTGTGGATGGAGTGCTGTGTTGCTTGCCGTTGTGCCGCAGAGCTGATGGTTTCCTATTGCCTGCTTTCAAAAGGAAAAGGCTTGTCTTGTGCCAGGGCTGGGGCTTGTTTCAAGTTGCCGCTGGCTAGCAGCACTCAGAGGCTGAGCTGCCAGTTCCTGTGCAAGTGTGGTGATGTGAAAGTTGTGGAAGTGGTTCTCAGTCTTCTTCCTCTGCACTGGATTTTTGTGGGGGAGGAAAAGCCCCGCTTTCTTTTTACTGACCTCATCACAGTCCCTCAAGGATTAGTTGGAATTCAAACTCTGATGTACTGGTGCTGAGGCTGCCAGTAACCAGCAGTGAACATGCACTGAACGCCTCAAGAGTCAGAGCACAATGATGTTTAGTGACCATGTGTCCTTTAAGGAGTCGGTGAATTGCTTAAAATCTCACAGCCACCCTCTCCTAGAGGAAGCAGCAGCCCTGCCATGCTGTAGAGAGTTCACTTGCATGTCTGAAGCATGCTAACACGTGGTGTCCCCTTGCATGTATGCAAAATGCAGAGTCTGTTGGGAAAAGCAGAAGCCCTGTTAACAGCTCTCCTCTGTCTCTCTTTGATTTGCAGAACAACCAAGTTCTTGGCATCGGGAGTGGTTCTACAATTGTCCATGCAGTGCATCGATTAGGTAGGATGCTCCCCTGCTGCAGGAAGTCCTCTTGTCCAGCTGCCCTCAGCTAATTGAAAACCAACCCTAAATGATCAGGACTGGGAGCTCATGCTTTAGGGGTATTCACCCATTGCTTTGTCCTTGAAGCTGAAGGTTTGTGCTCCAAATTGATTGCACATGGAGACCTGAGCAGGGAATGGTTTCCTTGACTTTGCTTGGCAGGGCTGAGCATTGCCACCTGCTCTCCCTGGAGGGCCAGGGAATGAACTTTACTGGCACCCACTGCAAGCTGGAGCTAAAAATCTCCCTTTTTGTTCCAGCTCTGCTATGTCTTGACTTGCTTTGTGGCTTTGGGCCATGCAGCTGCTCTGCTTCTGTTAACCCATTTGTATGCAGCTCATGCTGCTTGCTTACATCCACGATATTCACACTGAGGGTCCTGCTGAGGCATAAGCAGAACAAGGGTTGAAATCTTGCTGCGTCTTTTTTATACCCTACAGCTAGGTTGATCTGCTGGCCCTGAGGGGCTAGTTAGCTCAAGGTGTCTTTCAGAACATTTCAGCCTCTTCGCAAAATATTCAAGAGAGGGAAATGCAATTTTGCAAAGTGAATGTGAAGATAATTATCATCGAGCCTCATTACAGAGGGTATTGAAATCTAAAGTTTCTTTTCAGCCTTGGGGCTCCTGTTTAGAAGCAGAGCTAAGAGTGTCCTACATGCATGACCCCAGCTCCTTGGGCAGAGCCCCAGAGCAGGGCTTAGAACTGAGCAAAGGAAACATAGGATCAGGGTGGGACCTGCTTGCTTGCACCCACATCACCCCACGCACAGATTTGTCTGGGAGGTGGCTTGAGAGCTGCCATTCAGCAGTCTGGGTTTGGTTCAGTTTTACAGCCATTCCCCACTTCAACACTGGATCCATCTCTAAACAGATGCAACTTTTTGAGTGTACTGAGATTAGAGTTCTAACAGCACACAGCTCTGTGTATTACATTTTAACCCTGGCAGTGGGATTACCTTGAAGTTTACAGCCCACCTCTTTGCTCCATTGCTGACTCTCAGGCTTTTGGCTCATCCTTAAGTATTATATTTGCTAAAATAACATTTTGTCCATAATTGTATCTTAGTAATAGATTTTAGTCATTAGAGGTTAACCCGAGGGAGGAAATACTTCCTCCCATTTAGTGCAATATTTTATTAGTCATTTGCCTGCTATATATTTAAACGTTTCATAAGAAGTGGACATGATGTCCCCAAGGCAACAAGCCAGAAAACTCAGACAGCTGCTGCAGCTCTGTTCACAAGGAGCACAGCAAAACCTGTCTAATGGAGCGCGAGTGGGAGTGGGGCTGAGTTCCCAGGTGATGTTTTGCTGACGAAGCACAACCCTTGCTCTGTTGCTGGAGACACAGAGGTTAATGGCTGTGTGTCAGGGGCTGGGTTTAGATGGGTGTTCAAACATTTCTGTGAAAAGGGAGCCTTAGCTTTGCAGGGTGGCACCTGTTTGTGCTTTGAGCGTGACTGAGTTATTTGCAAGCCAAGCAAGTAATTGCAGTGATTCAGAGGGGCTGTTCTGAACTGAGATTTCTTAAAGAGAAAGCTGGTGTGATTTTTATTCTGCAGTGAACAAACCGAGTCTTCTGCTTTCTTCCTACAGCTGAGCGGGTTAAACAAGAGAACCTGACAATTGTCTGCATCCCTACGTCTTTCCAGGTAAGTTCCTTCCTCCTTGGTTTTATTCCAGTCTGGGTGCTCACATACATGGTCATTCCTTTGACAGTGGTGAACCAAGCACATGATGCAAAAATCTCCTTTGATTCCATATCAGACCCTGAAAGTTGTACAAATCTTGGTGCAAGCTTTTGTGTTTTCAAGAGGAGCTTGACTGAGTACATCAACTGGGTTTTGCAAAATATTGCAGAAGAGACGACAACTTAATTTTTCCTTCACAGTGCAACTTCTGCAGAGATCAGTTCTTACCAACCTAGCTGTTGAGAAAGATGGTGGGGAGAGGGAAAATGTGGCTCAGTGGTAAACAGAGCTGCTCAGAAAGCTTTTGAGCTGCTTCTATGGCTTCAGGCAAATGGCTTTGCTCTCTCTGCCACATTTCCCTGAGGTGGAAATGTGCTGCTGATAAGCAGCTGTGCACCTTGTTCCCTTAGGGCAGGGAAAGGTGACATCACCAGCTGGCGGGACAGAGACCACCTGCAGGGTTTTCAAGGCTAGATGACAGTGCCCCAGTCAGTGAATTGGGCATTTATCCTTTTCTTGGTCCTGATGTGGATTCTAGGGTTGTACCTTTGTCCCCTGGAGGACTTATAATGACTTCTGTTTCATACATAACTACAGTGGCAATCTCTCTTCAGTCTGTCTAAAGCGATCCCCACCTGGGGATGTCACGATCCCCACCTGGGGATGTCACGTGCCATTTGAACCCAGGAAAGTTCCTTTGGGTTCAGTTGCTAGGTCTTACAGAAAATATTGATAAAAATCACATGGTGAGTGTAGGCTGGAGTCTGCCTTGCCTTGAAGTGTTCATGTAACATCAGAATTTCTTAGCGGTGAAACAACATGGTTGGTGGTAAAGGGTAGAAGTAGGTCTTCCACCTGCATGAGCACGGGGCTGATTCATATCTTGTGCAGCCTCTTAGACCTCACAGAATCCTTAAGGTTGTAAAAGGCCACTGAGATCATGTAGCCCAACCTCTACCAGTTAGGAGCAAAGCATTCCCAAGACAGCAAAACAGCATCTTATTTTTGCTGTGTACAGGTATAAATGGCTGCCTGAGGTCATTGGCAAGGAAGAATTGCTTTCAGTGGGCTTTTATTCTTCTCCCTTCCCTGTTGTAAGGTTGGGTTATTCCATCACCATCACTAAAGCTAGTGTCAGGGTAAGTATCCATCCCTTGGCTTTTGCGTTGTTTCTTCTTTTCACCTGGATGCCTGCCGAGAGCATGGAGCAAAGCCAGTCTTGGCAACAACCTGTCACTCATCTAATCCCAAAAGGACCCACCCTTCCAGCCAGCTGATGTGCCTTGGACTGCATTGGATTCCCAGTGCTGGGCAATGAGGTTAACCTGGTCCTTGTGGGTAGGCCAGTGCTGTGCAATTTCCGCTGCTTTGTCCCCTACTGTGGGAGCTCTGCTTTTGGTTCCTGCCAGTCTGCTCTCATCACCTTGCAAGCAGAGAGCCTGAAGAGAGCCACCTTGTTTCCACACTACTGACTCTGAACTTGTTAAGGGTCCAGCCTGCATGTACAGCACAGTGTTTTTCAATGCTTTCAGTTCCCAGATCTCTGAAATCTTTGTACATGAACACCATTTTGTGAGTGTAAACCCACTGATGGCAGTCTTTTCTATTTTGTGAGCTCTTATAGGGCAAGCCTAGTCCATAGTATGATCTAGAGCCCACAGCCCACGGGTTTTAAAACTGCATGCTAAGGAGTGCTACTGTGATGTAAAAGATTGGGGTTGTATCTCATTGCTGGGACTACTCCTGGCTAATTCTTGTAATTGTTTCCAGGATGCCAATATGTATAGCTTGTGCACTTTGTTAGCAGGTAAAGCTTGGGATGAATTCTAGGCTGTGACACACGTTTCTCTGAATAGCCAGAGTTCAGCTTTGAGAAGAGTTCTGTGCAAGGTCTAACTCAGGCAATGATTCGTAAGATGTAAAATTTAACTCATTTCAGGTTCTGTGAGCTTGAACTTCCATTTAAGAAGCCAGTGAATGGACCAAAGGGAGTGTAACTGCAGGTGCTTTGTGTTCTACTGCCACTAGAGGGAAACTCACAGCTGCTTTGAAAAAAATAGATCACAGCCGCCAAAGAGCTGTTTCAGGAGGTGTTCCACACTTTTTCTATGAGTTATGCTTTTCTTTTGTGCTTTTCTGTTGTTTGTTTCTTTTCAGTATGAAAAACACTTTCACTGTTAGTCCCATATGATGTAAATATTCTGTTTTCCTGCTCCGATTTTTCAGCCAGAGGTAATCAGAGGGGACTCGAGAATCCCATACCTGCCTTCATGCTTAAATGCAGGTGTTTCCCACCAGGCTGATAGCCCCATGCTATTCAGTATGGAGTGACCTGGATGCAGCCCCATCCCTTTGCACCATCTAAGCAATTTCAGTTCAAATCAGCATTATTTTGATGAAAAAATTCTGGTCTGGAAGCATCATTTCCTCCATGCCATACATTTCTGCTGCTGATTGCAGCCTCTCAGCGAGCTCAGGATGCAGCACTGCAGCCCCCATCCATGTGGCAGCGAGGAGAACAACACGACAAGTCTGATTTCCTTTCCTGCTGCTGGTAAATAGTGTTTGCTGTGTTCTTGGTGCACAGGCCCGTCAGCTGATCCTGCAGAACGGCTTAACACTAAGTGACCTGGACCGACATCCAGAGGTAAGTGGGAATGCAGGATTGAAACTCTACTGACCTTCCTCTAACTCAGTCCTTCATAAAGCTCCAGGCTCATCTGTCCTTGCTGAGGACAAAAACTGCTGAATGTGAGCGAACTGGCTTTGTTGTTTTTCCCTGAATGTAATTTCCTCAAAGCTGTGGTCTGGCTGAAAGATTGATTTATGGTGACTTGTAGGACCTAGGCCAGTACAGAGCAAGGGTAGGAGACTGTCCCTGTCTGCTGAACCACGCTCCTCCATTTTCCACGAAACAAAAATCACTGAATTGTAGAATCATAAAATATTCTGAGTTGGAAGGGACATACAAGGACCGCAGAGTCCAACCCCTGGCTCCACACAGCACCACTCAAAATCCAAACCCTATGACTGAGAGCATTGTCCAGACTCTGCTTTAAATCTGGCAACTTGGGGCCATGCCCAGTGTCCTGGAGAACCTGTTTCATGCCCACCACCATGTGAACCTTCTCTTAACACCCAGCCTCACCTGATGCAGCTCCATGCTGTTCTCCCAGGCTGTGTCATGGTCACCCTGTGAGGAGCTGTAGGCTGTCCTGAGTCCTCCCCTCAGTCTTCTCTTCTTTAGGCTGAACAAACTGAGGGACATCTGCTACTCCTCGTGTCTCTTGCCCTCCAGAGCCTTCACCACCTTCATAGTCTTTTGGAGGCTCTCTAATATTCATCTCCTTCTTATATTGTGGTGCCCCAAACTGCACACAGTGCTTGAGGTGAGGCTGCAGATGCTCTAAAATCCCAACTGCTGATCCTGTGAGGTGACCAAGAAGGGCAGTGCTCATCTCTGGATGGTCGCTTAAAATGACAAGAAGGGTGCTAAGCTGGTGGCCTCCTCTTCCAGCCTGGGGCTTGCTGGCAGGGGATGTTGCATTGCTGAAGTGTTGTCACAAACATTTTTGCCAGGAAACCCCAGCTGTCACACAGATCGTTAGCTGAGAAAACTGGAGGCTGAAGAGACTTGCCTTGCAGGCCAACAGTTGGTTTTGTTTTGTTTCTTTTCTCGATTTTTGCATGCTTGTGGTTGAGCTGGGGCTGGTCTCCTTGGGTGGCTGACCAGACACTCATCTCTGGTTGGGCTGGCATAAACTCCAGTGAACCGGGCAAGATTTTCATTCTGAGTTTCTTGTCTTCCTACAGCTTGATGTTGCCATTGATGGAGCGGATGAGGTGGACTCTGATCTTAACCTGATCAAAGGAGGCGGGTGAGCCTTGCTGTCTATGTGTCTGTATGTGGCACAGGTGCTGGGTGTCCTCTGAGCTGCACTGAGGAGCAGTCTAATGTTTTGTTGGCTTTTTTTTTTTTCTCTTGCAGTGGTTGCTTGACGCAGGAGAAGATAGTTGCAGGATATGCAAAATGCTTCATTGTTATTGCTGATTACAGGTAAAATATTACTATTCGTTGTGTGGAAATATTTGGATGGCCCTGTGTTCGGCTGCATTCCTCCTAAGGTGTAAGGGGAGCAAGAATTGGTGGAAATGAGCTTAACTCCCAGTGCTTCAGCAATTGAATTTTTTTTTTTTTTTCCTTAATTGTCATCTCAGCAGGCCTACTTAGAAGTCAGCAGAGCTTGGGGGGAAAAGGCTGCTCTGCTTTTTCTGAGCATAGTGCTTGTCAGCATGGAATAAATTTACCCTTCTGTGCATGCAGCCGTAGGGCTGTTGAAAACTTCCATCCTGCCTGTCCAAAATGTGTCAAAACAGGGCTTATGAGCAGAGCTTCGTGCACTAAACTGATTCTTCCTACATGAGTGCACATGCAAACTGATTGCCATGCCCTCCAGGGCCTTACACCTGAGGGGTTTGTGAGAAAGAATGTGATAAGTGCATTGTTAATGGTGGTGACAATGTAATGTCTGACACTGATCCCTCCTCAAACCTCAGGAAAAAATCAGAGAGCCTCGGGGAGCAATGGAAGAAGGGAATCCCTATTGAAGTCATCCCTATGGCTTACGTCCCTGTCACCAGAGCCCTGACCAAAAACTTTGGAGGTGCTGCAGAGCTGCGGATGGCTGTTAGCAAAGCAGTGAGTGTCCCTGATACCTCTGTGCCCAACAGAGCCACTGAGTGTGGCAAGAAAAAGATCATTCATCTGATCAAATGTGGTTCCTTTAATTGTACTTAATGAACCGTGTGTTTAGATGTTGGGGTTACTTGTATAAGTCTTATGTATCCCAGAGCAAACATCCCTGAACAGTGAGAAGAAGGGTGGCTGTTCCTGTGTCTCTCGTTGGCCACAAACAACTTGCCATCCAGAGCTCAGGTTGCTTTTTTTGTGGAAACATTCTCTGTCCTGCTGGGTCCTCCATCTCACAAATACTCAAGTTGTTGCTCTGCAGAAATGTTTAGAGGCTGGAGGTCAGTCTGTGCTGTCAAAGTGGCTTGAGTTAAGTGGGCAGCTCCTGGAGACCCCAAGCTGCTGCGTGCCACACAGAGCAAGAGTGGACTAAAAACGGAGCCTGCTTTGTCTCCACTGTCTTATCTTGGCTTGAACAATGGGGCTTGATCAATGCATGTCATGTGGCAAAGGAAGAGAGGACTGTCTCCACTTACATCTGGAGCTAACACCTTTAATAAGCTTAATCCCCTAGCCCAAGAGGTTGAGGAGCTATATTTAGGAGCCTGAGAAGAGAAAGCCAGTTGTCTTCCATGAGCTCAAGACCAGTCTTGCTTGGGGAATGCAGATCCCAATGCTGCAGCATGAGTTGTGTCCTTTGAGGATTCTGTCTCATGCTGTGGTCTTACCCCCTGGTCCTTCCTAGCATGTGTGGTTACAAACCCTGCTCAGGGTTGCTGAAACACCTTATTCTCAGCCCCAGCTGTCTTATCTTTGTTGAAAGGACCCAACTTTGGGGCTTGAGAGAGTGCTGGGCACATCTGAGACAACAAAGGCCATCAGTCCTTCATCTCCAAAACCTCCCTATGGCATGCAGCAGCCTACCCTTATCACAGGGGTGAAGAAGTCTTGTTTGGGCTTCGGTTGCCTATAGTTGCCTGTTAAGGACATTCCTCTAGCTCTGCTCTTGTGAAAAGGATCCTCTATCCCAGTAATGAAATCATATCAATTTTTCCAGCTTTTGCGTGATTATCTGTGGACTGTAGGCAGAAGAACAAGGAAGGCACAGCTACCTTGGGCAATGGGTTACAGGGTTATTGTTTGTATGGAGCAGTGGACTGTGCCCTTATTTACTCAAATGATGACCTTCTCTACACTGTTGCAGCAGGGATGGCTCCCGGTCTAAGGCTGTGCTTGGTACAACAGGAGCTTGTGGTGCTGACATGGGTTTGCTTCCCAGGGTCCCGTGGTGACAGACAATGGGAACTTCATCCTGGACTGGAAGTTTGACAAGGTTCATGAGTGGAGCGAAGTGAACACTGCCATAAAAATGATACCAGGTAATGTCTGTGATGTTAAAGACCAAAAACTGGCTAAGCCTTGGTCTGTACTAGAAATCCCTCACCATGGGAGCAAGGAGCATGAGACCTGCTGTGCAGACCAGAGCTGTTTCTGGATCATTAAGGTCTACTCTAGGGTGGTGACGCTTCAGCAAAGCAACATACAAAGGCTTGCTCAGCCCCATCTGGCTATCTTGGCTGGATATTTTGGTAAAAGTCTGCTCTTGAATCTGGTTGGCTTTTGAGTGCATCTTCAATATTTTGAGTTTATCCCAGATAGCTGTCTGCCCCCTACTGTTCACAGCAGAGCTACCATTAGCTTCACTGCTTTTTGTGTCTTACCAGAGGAGGAACAGGGTGGAATCCTGTTGCACAAACCACCACGTCTGCACAAAGCAGCACCACGATTAGAATACAACTTTGGGCTGAAGCCATGGGTTTAGGCTGAGTGAAGTGTCTGTCCCTGATTACTTCAGGCTGCTTCTGTTTATTAGCTTTGCTTCCCTCAATGCTTTTTAGAAGGCTGATTTGCTGAAAACATACCCATTTCCTTTTCTCTGGATCTAGGAGCAAACTGCTTGTGTGTTGCCTCTGCCTTGGCTTGTCCTGATGTCTTTGCAGTCTGAATAATTACCTGGCACTTGCTCACAGCCGACAGTAGATGGCAGGTTAATACCTTTGGCAAGAGCTGATCTAAACAAACCAGCGTCTGATGTAAATAGACTGGTGGATGCTGCTAGTCAGGGCTGTTCTGGTGCAGTGCTCTGTATCCTAATGTAGTTTCAGTCCATGACTGTACAAATGTGTTTTATTAGAGTTCTTTCTGTGCACAAGAGAAACAGTGGCTGGTTCTGCAGAAACAAAACACAGAGTCTTTTCACGGGCTCCTTCTTGCATCTCAGCCGAGAGGGATGAAGGGGAAAGAGACAGCTTGGAGGTGGTTTCAGCATGCTGTGGTTTAACCATGAGCTCATAAGTGAGCTTGCTAAGGGGAAAAGATCATCTTCCCTGCCCAGGAGTGGAAGAGCAGAATTGTTAAAGCCTGGTGGTAGCAGGGCTCTGTGCACTTTGCATGTGGTAGCCTTGTCCTACTTTTTTTTTTTTTTTTTTCAGCCTTCTTGGAGTGTATTCATCTGGTAGGAATTGGATTTGAGGCTTGGCTGTGCAAGCAACCAATATGAGTGCTTACATACAGGTCCTGGATTGCAGCAGGAGTTGTTGGTGAAACGAGGACTTGCCCAGCATACTTGGTGCTGGCTCTGAGTGTTGGTGGCCTCTGCCTCTGGGGGCCTTGGCAAGCTGAGTGCCACGTGTGTCAGCAAGCTGCCACCTGAAAGGACTCTGAGGGCTGCAGAGCTGTGCATCACTGTGAATTGCAAACATTAGAGTTGTTTGAGGATTTCATGTCCCTCAAAATAGAGATAATGATATCTCCAGGCCATTTTTTCCTCTGTAAGAAAGACCAACTGCATGAGCAACACTCTGATGCTCTTTTTTTTTTTCCCTCTTCTTTGGTCTTTGGCTTTGAACCCATCTTGCCCTTAACTCCTCTTAATGTGATTAACTTCTCATGGGCTTTTCTGCGTTCCTAATATCTATGGTATTAAAGCCTTAATCGATGTGAGAAGCAGGATATTCTCCCCTCTCCCAGAGGAAGTTTCAGTGTGATTCATAGAATCATTAAGGGTGGAAAAGACCTCTGAGATCATCTAATCCAACCACCAACCCATCCCCAACCCATTTCCACTAACCATGTCCTACATCTCCATAGCTCTTGAACACCTCGAGGGACAGCGACTCCACCACTTCCCTGGGCAGGCTACTCCAATGCATCACCAGTCTTTCAGAGAAGAATTTTTTCCAGATTTTTCCTAAGGAGTCTGCTGCTGGATGGGAGCAAAGCCTGGAGGCTTTATGCAAACCCATGCAGCTGGCTCATGTCTTCCATCTGCTTGGTTTGGAAGCTGTTAGGTGGTTACAGGATCTGACTGTGGCTCAGTGACCACTGTGAGGTTAAGAGCACCCCATAATTATGTAATTAAATTCAACCAAAAGTACATCTGCTAATGGGCCACAAATTGCAGAGATAGTATCAGATCTACTTTGTCTTAACATTGTTCCTTACTTTGTGGAGAGATTTTTCTCTGGGGTCAGCTGCAAGGAAAAGACTTCCCAGATGCTCCCTGTGTGGCTGATGAAAGCTCACCCGTGTCAGACACCTAAGAAGATTCCAGCACTGTGGTGGCTCTGGCAGTATTTATAGAATCATAGAATTATAGAATGGGCTGGGTTGAAAAGGACTACAATGATCATGTAGTTTCAACCCCCTGCTATATGCAGGGTCACCAACCACCAGACCAGGCTGCCCAGAGCCACATCCAGCCTGGCCTTCAATGCCTCCAGGGATGGGGCATTCATAACCTCCTTGGGCAACCTGTTCCAGTGTGTCACCACCCTCTGTATGAAAAACTTCCTCCTAATATCTAACCTAAGCCTCCCCTGTCTCAGTTTAAAACCATTCTCCCTTGTCCTATCACTATCCACCCTCATAAACAGCCGTTCCCCTTCCTGTTTTTATGCTCCCTTCAAGTACAGGAAGGCCACGAGGTCTCCCCAGAGCCTTCTCTTCTCCAAGCTAAACAATTGCAGTTCCCTCAACCTTTCCTCACAGGAGAGCTGCTCCAGCCCTCTGATCATCTTAGTGCCCTCCTCTGGACCCACTCCAAGAGCTCCGTGTCCTTCTTGTACTGGGGGCCCCAGGCCTGGATGCAGTGCTGCAGATGGGGCCTCACAAGAGCTGAGTAGAGGGGACAATCACCTCTCTCTCCCTGCTAACCACCTTTTTTTTAATGCAGCCCAGAACACAGTTGGCCTTTTGGGCTGAAGGTGCACTCTGCTGGCTCATGTCCAGTTTCTCGTCTGCCAGGAACCCCCAAGTCCTTCTCCACAGGGCTGCTCTCAAGGAGATCTTCCCCCAGTCTTTATAAATACCTGGGATTGCCCCAACCCAAGTTCAGCACCCTGCACTTGGCCTCATTGAACCTCATTAGGTTTTCACAGGCCCACTTCTCCAGCCTATCCAAGTCCCTCCGGATGGCTTAATTGGCTAATTGACTAATTGGCTCATGAACTCTTGTTCCCAGGCGTGGTGGAGACGGGGCTGTTCATCGACATGGCGGAGGTGGTGTACTTTGGCATGGAGGACGGCTCGGTCAGCGTGCGGGAGAAGCAGCCTCGCTGATGGTGGCAGTTCTGCCTGCTCTGCTTTGCCTTCGGCCAGTTTGATTCAGCTGTCGTAACGGTGCCAACCTGACGTTATGCCTTAACGAGCAGCGGTTATCACAGAAGGTGGACGGGGAGTTGATCTGAATCCGCTGATATGATACTGAATGTCTTTTTAAAAAAACAAACAAAACAAAACAAAAAAAAAAAGATGCTCTATTTCCAGATATATATATATATTTTTACTTTACAAGAATGTTGTCCTTTTTTTAAAGAATCAGTTAAACGAATTGCTTTAACGTTTTTATTTTATTTTCTAAGAGATATTTACCAAAAAAAAAAGAATACTTTTTGAATTCTTTTGTTGGTTTTTGTTTTTCCTTTTTTTGAACTAAACTTGAACTTTCCGGGTCACTCTTAGTGCTCAGTGATTGATGTTACTATCCTAATAAATCATCCTTAACCACTCTGGCTGGGAGGATGATGTACATAATAGGAGCACATCCAGTTGGGACCTACTGATGCCTTATTTGGAACCTTTTTGGTTCGGTATTTTATGCCTTTTATTTTTCTATACCACTGTTTTTTAATAGTTCAGGATGTCTAGTTAATCCTCTGTGCATATGACAAATCTCTGAGCCTAGGGACATTGCATCCCTGTGTCTGGGACATTAATAGGGGCCTTTTTGGGGCCTCTGTATGGAAGAGACGTTCATCCTTTGAGCCAAATTCTGTTCTACAACTGCATTAATCTAGTACCTCTGATTAAAGTCTGTTCCAGTAGCTGGAGATATTCAGGATTTCATCCTTGTATAATGAGAGCAGAACTGGGCACTTGATGAAGTTTACAAAAGCACATTTTAGCATTTTAGGGCAGTGTTCAGTGACAAATTATTTAGTTTAGAATGAAGGTTAATGATCACCTCTCGCAGCTGGTTGATTTGTAGAAGGATAGAGTGGAATGCAAGGAAAACTGAGTCTTCCTGCCTAAGTTTACCATATGTAGCAGGAGAGAGACACTCATTCAACATATTGTTCTCTGTGTATAGGTGCTTTGCATGATTATGGTGTCAAAATGCAAGCCCTCTTTTTGTGTAACACTGAAATAAAGAGCTGTTATAACAGATGTTCATCTTAAGGTGACTATTTTGGGAACAACACAAAATACTTGTTGAGACTAACTTGTGCTCTGATTCCATTAAAAGCTTCTGTCTGCATTTTCCCCTTACATGGGCACTTCATCCAGACCTGGCAGCATTTGATTTCTTTTTGCTTAAGGTAAATACACTACGTTATTTTAAATTAACCAGATTCTCTAACCATCACTTGTTAGTTGCAGCACTGGCCATGCACCCATCTTAAATCTGATGTCTGAAACCTGTGTGTGTAAAATGTTTTTATCTTTCTTTAAATTTTGCCTTTTCTGCACATCCATTCTGTTAATTCTGAAGCACTTTGCAGTGACCAAATTGGCTACCATCCAGCCAACAACTTGCTGGAAGTGCTGAAGTTTCTCTTCTTGCAAATCTGATGCTGCTGAAGCTGTTCACAAAATCACAACTCCGTCTGGATTGCCAGGGGCTGTTTTCTGATAGTCTTGGGCTCCTAATGTAATTCTAGATAAACAGAGAGCAATCAAGCAAAACTTTGTGAGGAAGCTTCTTCTCACACAGCACGCTTCTGAAAATGAGATTAGCAGGAAGAGTGTTGCTGTTGACTCTCTGAAGTCAGACAGCCCCTTCTCAAAAAGCCAATGAAACCATTACCGCACCATTTCTTTCTGGCCTCGGACCAAATATGATCTCATCCAGCTCTGTGCTTAGCAGGGGCTCGTTAAATCTAAGCCTGAACACAGCAGGTCTAATTCTTCAGCTTCTCTAGGTGCTTAAGATGCTTGTGGCACAGCCTGGTACTTCTGTGACAGCTTTCTCTGCTGGGGGAACTTTGAGCAGAGAGGCCGTGGGCTGCATGTGCATTTCAATGTGCCACAGGGTTAGAATTAAAACATCTGCAGTGCTGGAGAAAGATTGCTGTCTGAACTGGTTCTGGAGGTTTTGTGCAGATTTTGATGCAGATTCCCTTCTTGCCAACACAAGGCACTGGTACAGGCTGCCCAGAGAGGCTGTGGATGCCCTGTCCCTAGAGGTGTTCAAGGCCAGGTTGGATGGGGCCCTGGGCAGCCTGGTCTAGTATTAATTGTGGAGGTTGGCAGCCCTGCCTGTGGCAGGGGGATGGAGATTCACGATCCTTGAGGTCCCTTCCAACCCTGGCCATTCTGTGATTCTGTGATGTCTGGTGGGACTTTGGGCAACCTGATCTGGTGGGAGGTGTCCCTGCCTATGACAGGGAGTTGGAGTTGAATGGCATTTAAGGTCCTTTCCCACTCTTCCCTAACACAACTCCATGCCATTCTCTATTGTTGCTACCAGAAAACACCTCAGCTGTAGGCTGTCTTGAGGCCTCCACTCAGCCTCCTCTTCTTTAGAGTGAACAAACCAAGGGATCTCAGCTGCTCTTCATACACATTACCTTCTAGGACCTTCACCATCTCCACAGCTCTCCTTTGGATGCTCTCTAGTGGTTTTATATCCTTATACTGTGTCCCCAAACCTGTTCACAGTACTTGAGGTGAGGCCACACAAATGTAGCATAGCACAATCTCTTCCCTTGCTTTCCTTTCAATTGTGTTTGTTGCATTTGATTTTAACATCTTTGGTTTTGATTTGACTTCAACTTTTTAAGCTGCTTTCCAGAACAGCCTCAAGAGGCCTGTAGTAACAAGGCTGCCATATCTGCTCAGGAAGAAGAGCAGTGACATATTTTTCGAAGATGACATTGCAAAACAAATCTGAAACAAATGGCAAGGGATGTCCTTTCAGTGCCCAAGGCAGGGGAGCTGTGAATATTTAGGGTGCGATATCGCAGCATTCCCTGTTACCTTTCCCTGTTACCCAATGCTTTTCATGGTGAGAGCTTGCAATCCATCCCTGCACGCAAACCCTGGCATTGCTTTCTGCACTGTGAGTAATGCACAGCTGATTGGCCATTTGCACTGAATTATGGATTAGCTTGGCCTTGGAGAAAACAAACATTTCTAGGAAGATCAACAGCAGCAGTAAAATTAATGAGGATGAGAGGAAATAAAGCAGTAGTATCATTCAAAAAGAAAAAAAAAAAAAGAACAGTAATACAGATATAATAATAGAGTGCTTTGGGTACGATTGAATTAACCTTTGGTTAGCAGGTTATCTAATTAAGGTGAATTAACTAAGGAGAAATAAATTAAGAGTTTAGTTAAAGTGTTTCACCTTGTTCCATGTTATCAAACAAGTTTTACCACCGGTCAGGTTTTTAGTGTTGTCTCTGTAGGTCTCGTTTTATGATCTGATATAATTATTGTACTGTGGAACCTGATATAGAAGGAAATGAAAATAATTAAACAGGCAGCACTGAGTATGTCTGCTGCATTTATTAAAACAAATGATTCTAACCCAAGTGATAAAGAGAACATGAGCACATTATAACCAGTGAGAAAAATGAGTTGTAATGGAGTATTAGTAAGGTATAACGAGAACTAATATCCTTTAAACATAGAGTCAGAACCATCTTGCAAACAAGGAGAGCCTTCTCTTTGCTTATCTAGATGCAATCAGTAAGTCTGGAGGAGCTGGTAATATCCAGTTCAACTTGGGATGTTGAATTAGGAATATTCTTTAATCACTCCAAATTCAAAGTTAATCTAATGTTATATCAGTAAAAATGTGCACATAAATTTGGTCATGCATATAAATATCACAGAAGCCAAAGTATCTGCAACTGGGATCATCCCTTCTTTGTACACCAACACCAACCTCCTCATTCCCTCATGGTACTCTTCCAGTGCAAGGCTGATTAAAAACAAACTAACATCAAACATCAAAATTGGTAATTAAGCATAAATTCCCTTAAAACATTTTCAAAGCCTTAATTTCAGTAGCTCGTAAGTAATTCGCTTGCTACAGTGCACAGTCTTCTGCTAATCAGGTTCTAATAAAACATCCAGTTTAATTCCAACATAATGTATTTGGAAATGACAAATTAAATTGAAAGCCACCACTGTAAATCTAGACAGTACACTGGGATACTTGTCTTACTACCTTAATTTCTTGTTTGAAAAAGGAGCTTTGCCTTCCTCTTATCCTTAATGGATTGTAGCTTTTCAAAGAGGATCTTTCTATTTTCTTCTTGAGTTAATGTATGCTTTAGTGAGGATTGGACCAGTCCAGCAAGGAATCCAGATCTGTCAGCTACTGGCCAAAATCTTGTACACCCAAATTCTGGTATTATTGAAGAGCAAGTCGTTATTCAACATTTTTCTCTGCTGAGATGGTAAGAGGTACAATGCACCTACATTTCAAACCCACTCTGTGACTTGGGCCAAGCCTATAGCATTGCATGGGGTCGTTGTGACCAAAGCACAGGACCCAGCACTTGGTCTTGTCGAACCTCATACAACTGGCCTCAGTCTATCCAGATCCCTCTGTAGGGCATTGCTACCTGCAGGCAGATTTCCTCCCACCTTGGTGTCATCTGCAATCTTAATGAGACGATCTCAATCCCCTCATCCAGATCATCAATAAATATATCAAGCAGGACCAGCCTCAGTACTGAACCCTCATGACTAGTCACCAGGTATGGAAGAAAGGGCAGAGCATGTATTTTGGCCAGTCTTCCATAACTTTGGTAGAGCTGTGATGGGTTCTTCAGTTCTGTAATACAAGGCCTTCCTTATTAAATGTGCGGTGTTCCTACTTGCTGCTTTAAATCCTCCAGATTTGGAATATTTTAGTTATAAAGAGACAAATAAGCCTCTTTCAGTCAGTGGCTGTTTAGAAGACTTCAACATTTCTGGATTAAATAAATTTTGGACCACATACTAAAAAAGAGGGAAAAGAAATCTGATTACCTTTCTGCTTTTCATTTGATACTGCAAGAGAAATAAATAAGATGCAGTCAGTGTGAGAGAGCCCATCCTGTAGGTGATCTGTAGAGGATAGTGATGCCTTTCCTAAGTGAAATGCATTCATTGGAGACATTCATGCCCCAAGGCCTACATTTACTGCTTGAAGAATACAGACAATATTTTAGGGATGTCATTATTTACAGGATCAATATTGCTATTGAGCCAGACAGCTGCGAGGCGTGGGCAAATACATCTGCTCTAATACATTTCTCTGTCTATCGATCTCTCTCTGCTTGTGTTTTGCTGATCAAATAGAGAAAGCAAGAACAGGAGCAACTTATTCCTACTTTTACTGCATCAGTAATAGCATTTGTTCATACAACTTGCCAATCAAAAGCTATGCGTGCAGCTTGAGCAAGCATGAAGCCCTATGGAAAGAGCCAAGTCAGCTCATCCCATCTATTATAGACAGGACCTGACCGCTCCTGGCACACCTGCCCCCCTCCCAGAGCCCAATCTTTATCATACTGCTTTTCAGGATACAGGAAATCTTTAGAATTCATGCTGCTGCTTGAGTGGTAGGGATGCTTGAGTTTCCTCCTGCAGTGCTCTCATCCACTGAAAGTCAGTTCAGTAGAAATCTCTAAGGGTGGTTAATTCTCAGCCATCTCGACAGCTAGAGGCAGAAAACTGAACTGGAGTCAGTGGCACAGCTATTCGTTTTGGGAAAACATCACTAGGATAAAGCAAGATTAAAAAAAAACAACAAACACAAACCCCTCAACTTATGCTGTATGATAGAATCAGAAAATCATAGAATGCCCTGGGTTCAAAAGGATCTCAAAGATCATCTAGTTTCAGCCCCCCTGCCATGGGCAGGGTCGCCAACCACTACACTAGGCTGCCCAGACCCACATACATTAAGTCTTATACCAAGCTAGTAAAGTGTGTTTTTCATTTGGATTTGGACTTTCTCAGGCTCTAGAACTCCTATGGGAACTTGTCCCACCAGCACCTGCAGGATGTACACTTACAACTAAAAAAAAAACCTAAAAAACAAAAAAAATTACTTTGGCCTCTGTAAATGAGTCTCTTTAGACCTGATGACTTGATTTGAAGACCCAAAAGAAAAACACAACACACTGGGGAATACAGATGGCTTCTGAACTGTTTTTAATCTAAATTCTAACTCTTCTCAGTGGGAAATTGGCAGCCCAATGAGGTTACCCTGGGTAACCTGATCTACCCACAGCAGTGGGGTTGGAACTCAATGATCTTTAAGGATCCCTCCAACCCAAGTCTTCCTA